AGCATCTTAAGATTGTAATTGTAGAACTCCTTTTTGTTGAAGTTGAGTTCTTTCACTGTGCATCTCATTATCATTTGTAGCCATATTTTCAATCAACTCATAAGCTTCCTCTAGAGTCTTGCACTTGATATTACTTCCAGTTGAGGCATCTAGCAGCAATTTAGTTTGTGAGCTTAGACCTCCAAGGAATAGAATGACTACTGTAGGTTCATCAAAACCATGAGTGAGCGTCTTTCTCAACAAGCCTTTAAATTGGTCCCATGCTTGACCTAATGTTTCATCCATGCCCTTCTTGAAAGAAGAAATTTCCTGCTTACCTTTTTTCACCTTTGACTATGGGAAGTATTTGTTCAAAAACTTTGCAACCATGGCTTCCCACTTAGTAAAGTTGTTATCTGGAAAAAATTTCAACCACATCTTAGTATTGTCTCCCAAAGAGAAAGGGAATAAGCTAAGTCTAATAGCTTCATCTAGCATGCCATTAATCTTCACAGTATTGCATATCTCATTGAATGTGGTCAGATGCTCGTATGGATTTTCATGTGATAATCCATTAAATTGGTTACTCTTCATCAATTGAATCAAAGCAGGCTTCATCTCCATGTTTGTAGCATTAACCCTCGGCCTTGCAATGCTATTAAAATGATGAGGGCCAATGATTGTTGCATAATTTGCCAAGGTACGTCTACCATTCTACTCTTCAGCCATATTTTCTGCTTCTTAGTCAGATCTTTGAGGTGAAGGCTGTAAAAGAGTCTCAAGAGAAGGGAAAAGTTCTCTAGACGTCCTATTTCTCCTTTTTCTTCTACCATTGTCCAAACCTGCAAGAAGAGGTTTAGAGACTTTTGTGCTTCTAGTTCAAATTGTACCATGCATACACTAGAGAACAAAACACTAGAGCACCCAATTAGCATTAACAGATAAAAAAGATAAAATTAAAGATAAAATAAAAATTAAAGATAAAAATATAAAAAAAATAAAAATTAAAGATAAAAAGATAAAATTAAAGATAAATTCTAATCGGTTAAGAATCACACAAAAGTATAGTTTAAACCACGAGTCCCCGACAACGACGCCAAAAATTCTGCAAGTAGCCTCAAAGACATCTTTAAGAGAGATATCAACTTCTAGGTTCTAGTTTCTGGCCATAGTAGCATGAAAGGTTTTTGGGATTTTGAAAGCTTAGGGTTTCAAAGAGAAAATGATTGAGACTAAGAGTGAAAGGGCATAATGTTTCAAAGATAACATTGAGGACATAAAGACTTTGGTTTTCTTGGCGGTTATGTGAGTGAAGAATAAAGGTGCTTTCTTGGAATTCCAATAATCAGGGTTTTTAAGAGGAATCATGGTACATTTAATATGAGGTGTATGGTTTTGCTGACATGGCGATTTTGAATTCTTTTTCTTTTTCTGGATGATCCTTAATGGGCCACCTAGTTGGGCTTTGTGCATTTGACTTTATGCATTAGTGCAATATCCATAGACAATCTGCCTTAGACAATGTAATATTATGATGTCTTAGACGATATGCCTTAGATGTTATGCATGCAATATGGAGTGTCTTCAAACGATGTGTCTTAGACCATAGAATTGAGCATGATATCATTATATGATATGTCTTATGATATTTTAACTAGATGCTACATAAGATTAATAAATGGTAGAGTGTTTATACTTATCTTCCCAGTGCCTGTTCTCTTGTGGTCTTTCTCATAGTTAGTTGGCTCTTCATTTTTCTTCTTGAAATCTTGGAATATAGATCTTTCTTCCTTTGTGATAAGTGAGTATCTATTGTCCTAACGTCATGATAGGAGTTTCTCTTTTGTTGTCCATTAAACCTACAAGGGAAATGATTTTGTTCTTTGGTATCCATTTAGAGTTGGGTCCAACCTTGTTAGTTTTGTTTGTCCTTTTCTTTTCAATATTGGACTTAACGTTGAAGACCTCTTTCCCAACTTTAACAAATTTAATAAATTTTGATGAGCATGAATGACTAATAGGTTTATCATTAAATCCTAAGCCTATTTTGTCATAAGGACATTTTCTATTGTTTATCAACATGTCTAAAAGTTTGTTACCTTCATAGGTTTTATTTAACACTTTGAGTAAAGTGTCATTTTCTTGTTGAAGATGTTCAATACATTTAGTATTTTCAACCGTAGTGGACATCTACCTATTTGTCAGACTCATCTGATAAGTATTCAACACTTCTTTCCATAAGACACAAATTTGCTTCTTCTTCAGAGGTATCTAAGTCTTCCCAAGTTCTCATAAGCACTTTCTTCTTGTCATGCGTAGGAGAAGTAGTTTTTCTTTTTGGTTTTCCTAGATCAAGACATTAAGACCTAAAGTATCCTAGTTTGTTGCACTCATAACAAACAACAGTTTCTTCCATTCGTATGTCCTTTTGATTGTTTCTTGAGCTAGACCCTATGTGTTTATCCTTGAACACTGTGTATTTCTTTCTTCTCCACATTGAGTGAAGCTTTCTTGAGATGAACGAAAGTTCTTTTTCTTCATTTTCGTCCATAAAGTCTTCTTCATCATCAGACTCTTCTAAGGATTCATTCATTTTGAGAGCTTTTGTAGGTGCTCTTTCGGCAGCCTTAAGAGCAATGTTTTTTTCTTTCTTTATTGATCCATCTTGATTGAGTTCAAGCTTATGCACCTTGAGAAGTAATATATATAATAAAAAGAAATAAAACATGTCCAATGTACACAACAAGAATCAAATACATCCTTCAACCCATAACAAGGATCTATGACTAAGTGTGCCACATTTCACTTTCGTATAACTTATAATTCCTTATTTCAATTAATGTCGTCCATGCTTATACCACTTTTCTAAATTTTATTTTTCCTAGATGTTACATGTTCTAATACCTTAGTACAAAAACATATAAGAATCCCAATGATCAAACACAACAAATAACTCGACATCTTGGTATATCAGTAACCTGACCCGAGTACAGAAACAAAACAACACAATGGTATCCAACATAGGAGCAACTAGGTAGCCAATGGTATCCAACGTAGGAGCAACTAGGTAACTTGGCATGACAATAGTTAACTAATGTTGTGTTTAGTTGAAGGGGTTTCACTGTTTATGATGATTTGTGCAGATGGATTAACGAGATTATGTGCGTTCGTTTCCTGGTATTTGCGAATAAATGAAGATGATGATTTGAAAGTTAGCTCTTTAATTCAATCTTCGCTGATAGCAGAGATTTGAGAGTATTTGCCCTCAATTATCCATTTTGTCATTGTCTAATAATAATAATAATAATAATAATAATAATAATAATAATAATAAGGCTTAATACCACTTATGGCCCCAATTTTTGTTAGCTTTGTTCGAAATGGTCCTAATTTTTTTTATGTTAAATGTATTCCTGAAGATCGTAATTTGTGAATTACAGGGCACTTATTGGCTAATGTGGCTAGGACCAGAGTTGACTAAGGATGATCACGCCAATGAGGGTTTGGCATGTGGCAACCCCCTTTTTCACCCAAAAATTAGGGTTTCAGATTTGCATCGGCATATTGGGAAAAAGCTTGGTCGATTGTCGTCACGCGAGAATAGGGTTTCTTCTTCACGACGGATCTGGTGAACTTCGTGATAGTTGGTTTTCTTCTAGGCTTTTATCCTGTAGGTGAATGAAGAAGGCGCAGTGAAGAAGCTTGCCGAGAGGCGCTGGTGCAATTTGGGTTTGCGTTAGTGATTTGGATTTTGCTCGCGAGAGGTTGATGATGATGTTGGTGGCTCTTCGCTATTGCAGTGCGAATCACACTTCTTGTTTTTGAAGGAGATTTTTGGTTCTGTGGGTTTTGATCTTCTGTGTTTCAGGTTGGTAGTCGCTGATGAAGAATGGAGAAGTTTCACGACGTTGCTCAAAGGTGTGAGGAACTCGCGATTTGGTTTTGCGATCCTTGTGTCGGAGCGTTTGGAACACCGGCGCGACCATCTGGTTAGGGTTTCGAAATGTCTGATGATGGAGGTGCAAAGATGGTGACTAGCCGTGAGCGTGACAATGACGGTTAGGGTTGATTGATAGGGTTTCTATGTTGGGGGAAATTAGGATTTCTGGAGGTAGGTGATGATGATGACATGTCAAGGGTGATGTGTCACTGATTGCACAGCTGGACATTTGGCCGTTAACGATTTAAACGGCGCTTGCGAAAATGACTAAATTGAACACAAATTACGATCTTTAGAACTACATTGAACATAAAAAAATTAGGACCATTTCGATTAAAGTTGACAAAAATTGGGACCATAAATGATATTAAGCCTAATAATAATAATAATAATAATAATAATAATAATAATAATAATAATAATGATAATAATGATAATAATAATAATAATAATACAATTTTTTTTCATGTTAAAAACAAATTTTATTTTTCTCTTCTTATACTAATTTTTACAATTATATATAATATTAACAATTACAATTTTATATTACTTTCACTTAGTATTTTGATAATCTTCAATTTTTATCAATTAAATAATTTTTTATTTGTCACATCGGTCAAATTCTACATTCATTTTCACAAACTTTATTTCCAAATCCACCATTACTCACTTTCAAATTCACTCAAATAAATAACAAATAATTTACTTTCAAATCCATCTGTTCAGTCTCCCCAAATACTTCTCTAAAGTAAACATACCCTAAAAGAGCTAAGATCAACTTTAAAAGACGAATTTAAATAAAATTAAATCTGACAAACAAAATTAAGTTTGAAGATTAAATGAAAAATAAAAATTTAAAGAACATGCTTAAAAAATAAATAAATCAGGAGCGTCAATTGTTCCTCCTCGTGGAAATTAATGAAGAGAACTGTTATTACAACGGTGCCACCAAAGCGATCATTAATTAAGATTTATTTTAAGAAGAATTGTTTATGTGCGAATTGAATTAACGGGTCATCAGTTTTGATGCATATAAAATTACCGTGAGAAGCAAAACCGATGAAAAAGAATTAAAGAAAAAATCTTAGTTGAATTTTTCATTCTACCAGTAACTCAGTACCACGTGACCGTTTTCCTCTCTCTCTCTCCTGCTAGAATCCTTCACATGTCTCTTTGTCTTCATAGTTCATACGAATTGTCACTTGTATATTGTCGTTTTTTTTACCTTGGTAAGCGAATGTTGAAAAATAGTGAGTGGTGGTGACATCAAAGGCTGTCTTTCAAAACCGAAGAAAATGGGAAGAATCTTCACGGTGGAGCTGGAGGGCAGGTCCTACGGTTGCAAGTCCTGCAAAACCCACCTAGCACTTGCTGATGATCTCATCTCTCGGGTACAATTTTCTCTCTTCCTAACTTTACTCAATGGTAAATAATGTTTTATCTAATACTGTTGTTTGAGATGGGATTTGTGAGATTATCTGTAAGGAACATAAAAGAGCAATTTTTTTTTTCCTGATTTAAAGAAAAATGTCTTTTCATTTTAGTTTTCTTATTTTGGTGTGTGAAAATATTGTGACTTTTTCTATTGGGTCTGTGAGATTTGATAGCTGTGATTATGTGCTAGAAGAATTTCCTTGATTGCTATAAATCAAGCATTGATAAATCGGTTATTTATGCTGTGTTGGGTGTGAAGCCTTTACAATTGTAGGGTTTGGTTTACTACAATTGCAAAGAACAATGTCTGATCCTTGCAATCAGTTTGGTCTACCCAAAATTGTAAATTGTGGTCTTTTAGTTGGTATCCTTGAAATTATGTAAAATTGTGACAAGTACAGTTGATGGGACTACAATTATGGATGCAGAGATCCCAAAAACCCAAACATTGCAGCTGAAATTGTGATTGCAAACTTATTTTTCTTAAAATCCTTGGATCCATCATTGGGAATGAGAAAAAAATTGAACTTTTCATGTTAAAATATCCCTTAATTTTTCACTCTATCTTTCTAGGGTGTACCAAACTGGTTATTAACCTAGAGTCACAGAAGATTGGACCTTGACTGCTGCCTTCAAATTTCTAATCTGAAGATTGCATCATTCCAAGCAAAATCTAGATGATAGGGTTGTTGAGTTATAAACCCAGTTACACCTTGCACTTAATGTCTAAACCTGTATCAAAGGATTTTATTGAGTAAGGTCGCTGTTAATCTAGCAATCCTCTGATTTCTTGGAAAAGGGATTGATCTGATTCTGCTGAACAAGTTGGAGAACCGGAAGCATTTTGAGGTCTGGTCAATGACAAGCAGAATTTCTTGAATCTGATCAAGTGTTCATTGGGATTTTTTTGGCAAAGACACCTGCAATTAACAGTTACATATAGGACAGTTGATGGTTATATTTCTCATTCAGCTGGCAAAGTTCACTCTTATCTGTAGAATTCAGAACATCATCAGTGGCAGTATCATATTATCATCTCTTAAGTTATCTTGTACAAACTCCCTGTGGAAGTATGATATTCTCTTTGACGTTTCTATTGCAGTTTCTACCACTATTTAACCCAGTTGCTTCGAATTGAATGCATTATCTCTGTCTTCTAGGTTTTTCTTGGTTTCTACCAATACGTTACTGTAATTGTTGTGCTGGATTAAATTGCTTCACATGTTAACATCTGGTTCCTATTCTTCTCAGGCATTTTATTGCCAGCGGGGAAAAGCATATCTTTTCAATAACGTGTGAGTATTTTTTTCAGTTGTAATCCATTTGTGTTTAAAAGTAATGATTGCAGTATATAGTAACATTACAGTCTTGTGAGTTATGTTATTTAGTGTTTTCATATTACTAGTTAAAAGTTTCATTAAGGCATAGTTTGATACTGGCAGAAGTCTGAAACTTATAATGGTCATATTTTGCTAAGTTAAATTTCTTGATGAAATTACATATTTTGCATTTATTTGGAAATGCTTTTTGTTGGAGTAATAGACTGAGGCATTTCAACCTGTTGTACTAGATATGAGGATTTGTTGCTAGCATATGTTAAATGGGAATTGTTGTACTTTCTATTTGTACTTTATTTATTTTTATTTATGTTAATTGATCTTACATACTTGAGAAAAATAAAAAAGGGAGAAAAATATATTTTAGAGAGCTTGAAAAGTCTCCGTAGGTTCTTATATTTAAATAGAAACTGATTTGTGACACAACAATGAAAAGGAAAGAGTGTAAACAAGTTAAGGCAAGTCTAGGACCCTTGGTACAAATAGGTACAACTCAAAACATCTTTTCAATAAAGCTTACATAGCCTATTCTAACACTCTTTCTTAAGTTGGAACATGCAGATTGTATGTACTAGCTTGGAACAAATAAATTTGATTTGAGGCCCTCTAAATGATTTGGTTTACACATTTGCAAGTTCATCATTAGATTTGACAAATTGGTACCAAGTTCCTTAAATAATAACTTTTCTCAAATAAAATGGTTGTCCTTTTCTTTTATTTGGTCATTTCATGGAAAATAGGACTAGAAACAATATGAAGAACGAACTGCTTTGTTATCTCAATACATCTTCATTTGTTGAATCTCACAATTTGAGTTATTGGAGGAATTAATTTACCCATACAATTCCCAAGTTATACATGTCATTGCCCTTTATTCTGCTTCAGTAGTGATGAGGCAACTGCATATTATATCTTACTTTTGCAAGTACAAATAGTATTTGAGACTTTCAAGATCCTTGGTCTGAAAATGATTGCATAAGTGTTCTTTTAGCTAAGAGATTCTAGTAGTATCATTCTTTGTATTGACTAAATCATCAATATATACACACATTCTCAACGGGAGGTATGATAGTAGGAATTGAATGATTTCTCTTACTGCATTTCGGCCTAAAGTTTTGAACAATGTGACTAAATTTTCCAAACCTAGCATGTGGAGATTGCTCAAGACCAAAGAGCAAGTGACACAATTTAAAACCAAGAAGGTTGCTCGATGTAGACTTCCTTCTCTATATCACGATTTATAAAAGTATTTTTAATATCTAATTGATTAAGAGACTAATTGTTATGTACCTGAGGTTGATACGTAACTATCTATGAACACAATAGGCAATAAAGCTAAAGAATGAATGATAATGAACGTGGTAATAGCTGAATAAACAAAAGTAAACAATAATTGGGAGCATAACCTCCTTCAATTACTTTGGGAGCATAACCTCCCTCACAAGACGATAGCCACCTGTCAACAACTCAATAATCGAAAGCATACCCTTAACCCTAGACTCTCCCTTTATTTATACTAATTATTTCCTAAATAAAATATTTCCCTAGAAGAAAATATGAATATTGTTCTAAATAAAATATTTCCCTAAGATATATTCTTATTTACTATAATTATTTCTAAATATTTCCCGCCTATCCTAACTATTGTCCCAGTTAGGATAGTCACTCTTCAACCGATCGAGTCCAGCTCCCGTTCGGCTTTGCTTCCCCTGCACCCTACCGTTCGGCTCCAGCTCTTCACTGCCTTCCATCGTTCGGCCTGACCTTTTCATGCCTTCCACCGTTCGGCTTGACCTCTCCCCGCCTTCCAGCGTTCGGCCTGACCTTTTCATGCCTTCCACCGTTCGGCTTGACCTCTCCCCGCCTTCCAGCGTTCGGCTTGCTTCCCCTTGCCTCCTACCATTCAGCGCCCCCTTGCCTCCTACCGTTCGGCTCCCTTTTATCCTATTACCCAGTATCCTATCACTAATGATGAATAGTTACTTTAATCTTAACACACACTACTCCTTACTTTAATCTTAATAATTACTCTAACATATATAAATTTAATAATTATTCTAATAATTGGTAATACCTATTTGTTCTCTTCTATTTCCTTTTTATTAGAAGTGAACTTTAAACTTAATTGAATTTCACAAAATTAATTTGTAAAGTGATATTTTTACGCATTTATATACTATAATTTGTCGTTATTTCTAGTTGATGGGAACTCCAAACACCTTTCCTAAATTTCATAACCCTAGCCAATAGATCTAAAGTTTATCCAAATCCAATGGTCGGCCAGATAAAATTGGGTGGATGGTGATGGTAGAGTGGTTGGACAATACATTGATAAGTAGGGCAGGATTGACCCACTCTAATACGAACTTCTGGAAAACAAAAAGGGTGAAAATTGTATATTTTAGAGAGCTCGAGAGGTCTCCCGTAGATTCTTATATTTATAGGGAAATTGACTTCATACAAAAATGAAAAGGAAAGAATAAAAAAACAACTATGGCGAATCTAGGACCCTATAAATGTATAGGTAATTTTCAAAACAACTTTTTAATAAAGCGTACTTAGCCTATTCCAGCAAACATATTAAGTAATTTCAAGTGAGAAAATGATTAGTAAGAGAAAGATTTGCATTACAAAATTCATTGGTAGTTGATAACTTTTCTAGTCTATGTAAAATGGGTTTAAAACCGTTGAATTTAGATGCATGACACTTATTGATCAATGAAGACCGGGAGTGATGTCGTGGTTTGAATATTGAAATTTTCGTTTTATGCATCGTTTGAATAAACATGTGCATGTGTCCATACCTTGTACTAACTTAAACATCCATGGCATATTGACACCAGATTGTATTGAATGCAGTTTTAAATGCTTGTGACATTGAATTCCTGATTCCTTTGCATATGGGACTCGCTCACGAAAGAGAATTATGCATTTTCTTATAACACTAGTTCATTATTGTATTACTGATTTTGTGAATATATGGAAGCAATGTATGAAGGGTCAGGAACACGAGCCTAGAAAGAACATGAAGGTATTTGAAATGATTCGATATTTTGTATTAGCAGTTAATGCCTAATATCCAAAGCTAATAACTTAGGCACAGGAAAGAAAAAAAGCTAATCATGAATTAGTTAGCTCAACTTCATATGGTCGTTTTCTCACAAAAATGTCTTTTAACTTCATGCTTGCTAAAGCATTTCTTTCTTTGAACATTATTGTAAATGAAAACGAGAAGTAGATTAAAGGCATGCTTAGGTAATCAACACCAGGGTTTATTACTAGCTAGTGCTTATGTTATAATCACTTGTTCTGTTGGCTTATTTTGATTGGTTAAACTTGTTAACTTCATAGATAAACTTTTAACTTAGATGAAAATATAATTACGTCCCATCCAAATCTTATGGGTATGCTTTTTGTCTTCAACCCCGTCATCCAGTGTGAACTTCACGATTGGAGTGCTAGAGGAAAGGATGATGCTTTCTGGACTGCATACTGTGGCAGATATCTTTTGTTGTTGCTGTGGTCAAATTGTTGGCTGGAAATATGTAATTCTCCTCCTGCCCTGTCCCTTTTTAGTATAGAAAATATCTGAATGGGTGTTAGAGGTCAAATCTTTTAGACGTTTATTTGCATGATTGACCAGAAAGTTTTTCATGCATTATCTTTACTATTTTGTTTCAGCTTTCTGTTATATTACTTTTGACCCTTTTAAAGTTGCAATTTTCTATCAGGAGTCTGCACATGAGAGAAGCCAAAAGTATAAAGAGGGGAAGTTTGTTCTTGAAAGGTATATTGTTGTGACAATTTGAGTTATGCTCCTTTATCCTCCATAATTTGTTATACTGATTGTGCATATTGTGCACTTCCATGTAGCAGAGGAAGGATTGTTGATGAAATTGATTTCACCGCTGAATTCCATATTGAGAGCTGCGTCAGCATGAGTGATGCTGAAGATGCTTAATCATATTAAAGTATTCTGTACTTATCAGATCCTGTGAAAGGAATGGGCAGTCTTTTATGTATGAAAATAATGTAGAACCATGGAAATGTTCAGAATCAAAATTTGTTATGCAATTTCGTAGTAATAGTTTCCTAGTAATAGTAGTTAAAAGAACTAGAATTCTCAATGGTATTTCATCTTTGTAAACAGAAAGAGATGAATCAGTTGTTTCAGATTTTTCCTTCTTTCTTGCAAAGATCTTGGTTAGAGCCTCCTCAAAATGAGATTTGTATTTTAAATTTCCTTCAATGTATTGAGTCAACCTAAAAAGTGATACGTGGGCAACAAATTCCAATCCATTTAATTGGATTTAGATTGAAAATAGATTGGATAATTTTTTGGATTTTGAAAGTCAAAACCAATGTGCATTCAAGTTCACTACTAAAAAACCTTGTATTATCAATGGTATCGGTAACTGTTATGGATGATTATTTGTTGTAGGTAATTATCAAAGATGATTCATCTGTAATTGTTGGTGGATATATCTGTTGATAATTATTGAAGGATATATGATAGGTTTTTGGAATTAGAAACCTATTTAATTTGCACTTAACACACACTCACAATTAAGAAAAAAAGAATATACCGTATAATTCTATTATTCTGTATAATGAAATGCACAACCAACAACCTCCAAGAGAGCCAAATTCTCTCTCCACAGGATAAACGTGATCTTGTCTTTACAGTATACAAATCAAAAGTGAAATATTATCCTAAAACATCAGCTCTCTTATAGGAGCTTTATTTCCCGCCCCACTATTAATACGGTTATAACTGCCTAACATCTCTCCCCTTCTTTATTCCTTTTTTTCTTCCTTTTAAAAACTCTCCATATGCTATCATTACCCACCGCCTGATGTTCAACCTTGTCCCCAAGTTTGAAGCCTGGAAACTGTTCCTCCTTTCCTCCTTCCTGCCATTCCACTAGCATTTGCGGTATTAGCTCCTTATTCCTCTGTTTCTGCCTTCTGTCCAGAATCTTGAGTGGCCAAAACATTGGGCCCTCTGCTTGCAATTTATCTAACAGATCCTTCTCAACTTGTTTGGTACCCACTACTACCTTTAATTGAGACACATGGAATACAGGATGTATCCTTGATGTCTTAGGTAGCTGCAAATTAAAAGCAACCTTTCCAATCTGCTGTATGACTTTAAAAGGCCCAAAGTAGCATGCTGATAATTTGGGATGCAACTTGGTGGGTATGGAAGTCTGCCTATGAGGCCTAATTTTTAGGTAGACCCAGTCGTCGACCTTAACTTCGGCCGGTTTCCTCTTCCTGTTAGCATATTTGGTCATCATATCCTGTGCTCTTGTTAAATGAAATCTGAGTTGCTTGAGTGCCTCATCTCTTGTTTGGAGCTTTTGAATCACAACTTCTACTGCAGTTTCCCAGGTATGAACCGAGTGAGTGTAGGAGGTGTCCTGATAGGTAGTATTGTACCAATACTCAGCCAGGGAAGAACAAAATTCCAGCTCTTAGGTTGTTCTGAATAGAAACACCTCAAATAGCCCTCCAATATTTTGTTTACTACCTCAGTTTGCCCATCAGATTCTGGGTGGTGTGTAGTACTCATGTGTAGCTAGGTGCCCTGTAATCTAAATAGCTCCTTCCAGAATATGCTCAAAAATAAAGGATCTCTATCACTAACCACTGACATTCACACTCCATGCAATTTGACCACTTCTTTAACAAAAATCTCTGCTATGGTTATGGTTTTGGCAGTATAGGGATGCTTTAGGGGAGCAAAATGACCATACTTGCTCAAGCGGTCTACCACTACCAAAATTGCATCATGTCCCTGTGATTTTGGCAACCTGACTATGAAGTCCATGCTGACTTCTTCCCAAATGGCTTGCGGTATTGGCAAAGGATGTAACAAGCCTTAAGGAGAAGATGTCAAATACTTGTGTTGTTGACACACTAAGCAACTGGCTACAAAATCAGTGACAACCTTCTTCATTCCTACCCAATATAATGATTCGGCCACCTTACGATAGGTTTTATAGACCCCTGAATGCCCTCTAGTGTTAGTGGTATGGAACTCAGCTATAAGCTTAGGAATCCATACAGAATTTGTAGATAGCACCAACCTTCCTTTATAGTGAGGTCTGTCGTTCTCCAAAGTAAAGGTAGGATGAGAATTAGAATATGCTCTTACTTCTTGTATTATCTTCTTAAGAGTCTCATCTTCCTCAACCTCCTTCAATACCTCCTAAAAATCCTGTCAATATGGTCGCGCAATGATCCTCAATTCTACCTCTTCCTCCCCCTTATCTTCCCCTTTTCTTGACAAGGCATCAACCACTTTATTGGTCACCCCTGATTTGTAAACTATGTCAAAATCATACCCCAACAACTTTGCCAACCAATTATGTTGATTTTGAGTTGTTATCCTCTGTTCAAGCAAATATCTGAGGCTCCACTGATCCGTATGCACCACAAACTTTTGACCCAACCAATAGGGCCTCCAGTGATGGATGGCCATGACCAAAGCCATGAGCTTTTTTTCATAAATGGATTTATTTATGGATCTTTCTAACAGTGCCTTGCTAAAAACTACAATAGGCTTTTTGTTTTGAGTGAGAACAACTCCTACCCCACCCCCTGATGCATCACATTCAATGTGAAATTGCTGCTTGAAATCCGGTAATGCTAAAATTGGTGCAGTAGTAATGGCATCCTTTGATCTGGCCATAGATTTTGCTGCATGTGCAGACCAGGTAAACTGCCCCTTCTTCAACAAGTCGGTCAAGGGCTTTGCAATCTTTCCATACTCCCGCACAAACCTCCTGTAATAGCCTGTGAGACCCAAGAAACCCTTAAGGCTTTAAGGGTTTTGGGCTCTGGCCATTCTTCCACCGCCACCACTTTTTCTTTATCCATCTCCACCTTTTTTTCTGAAATTACATGCCCTAGGTATCTGATCTGCTTCCTCCCGAATTCACACTTCTTTGCATTAGCTACCCACTGGTGCTGTCTCAGTGTATTTAACACTTGCCCTAAGTGTCTCAAATGTTCATCCCACTCCGTACTGTATATCAGGATATCATCAAAAAGTACCAGTACAAACCTCCTTAAATATGTTTTCAGCAAATCATTCATCATACTCTGGAATGTAGCTGGCGCGTTGGTGAGGCCAAAGGGCATAACAAGGAACTCGTAATGTCCTTGATGTGTCCTAAAGGCTGTTATATAGATATCCTCCTCCCCTATATGGATCTGGTGATACCTAGCCTTCAAATCCACTTTGGAGAAATATTTCGCCCCTCTCAATTCATCCAAGAGTTCCTCTAGACCGATATCAGAAATTTGTTTGGATTTGTGGCACGGTTCAGAGCTTTGTAATCAATGCAAAAACGCCAACTGCCATCTTTTTTCTTTACTAGTATCACGGGACTTGAATAAGGGCCGGTGCTAGGTCGTATGATTCCCACTTTCAGCATCTCAGCTACCTGGTTTTCAATCTCCTCCTTCATCATATGTGGGTATCTATAAGGGCGGACATTAACTGGATCAGTCCCCTCCTTGAGAAAAATTTGATGGGCTGTATTTCGGACTGGAGGTAAACCTATGGCCTCCTTAAATATGTCTCCAAAATCTGACAACACCCGCTGCAAGCCGTCTGTTTGGATTCCTGATAAATCCTGACAGTTTTGCACTACCGCTGAGTTTATCTCTGCCTTCCCCAAAGTCCACACTAAAGTCACCGCTTCCACCGCTTTCATTTTCATCAAAGCTTTTCGTTCCACTATTTTTCGTGCCAAAGTGGGGTCCCCTTTTATCGTATTTATCTTCTCTCCCTACTTACAGACCATCCTTAACTCTCCCCAATTGATGGTTACTTCTCCTAATTTAGCCAACCACTTCATCCCCAAAATCAAGTCTACTCCTCCTAATTCAAACAAATAAAATTGCTCTAGCACCTCCGTTCCACCTATATTTATTGGGACCTTCCTACAACAGCCTCTTCTTTCTTTTTTTCTACCATCTCCCAAACTTACTTTATATGGGGGTGTATCTTTCACTAGTAAACCCAACTCCTTTACCAGCTTGGTGGCTATAAAATTGTGGCTAGCACCACTATCAATGAGGATCATGACCCGTTTTCCGAAGACTCACCCTTGTAGCTTCATGGTTTTGTGCGGAGTGAGTCCGCCAGTGGAAAACGACGACAACTCCATGTGTTTCAGCTCATCCTCTTCCCCACCTTCTTCCTCTACGTCACCGTCGAACTTGTCTTCCCCCATAATCACCACTCGCAAGTTTTTTTTCTGGGCAAAGATGCCCTGGACTGTAGGGGCCACCACAATCGAAGCATAACCCCTCTTCCCACCTCCTAACATATTCGGGGTAAGGCCGACTCCTTACGCCTCTTCCGCGGACGTCGCTCATGGTACTACTTCCAGCTTGGGACGTTGTCGTTCACTGGAGACCTTCTCCTCGAATCGTTGTTGTATTCTCTGCTACCCCGATCGTCCTGGACCCTGTTTGATTAGTTCCGATCTCGCTACGATTCTGGTCCCACCTTGATATTGCCCCCACGACTGGTCGTTCTTGCTTTTGGTTCCTCCCGCCGTTCGCGCGCCTCGACTTGCCTCCTCCACGTCCTGCGCCACCTCCATCGCCGACAATAAATCATGGGGATTACACGAACGAATCTGACTTCTGACTTCCCCTTGTAGACCTGCGAAAAAATATCCCAGGAGCTGATTCTCCGACACGGCCTTCGTCTACACCACTAACATTTCAAAGTCCTAGATGTACTCATCGACGATGTTGTTCTGCTTCACTGTCGGTAGCCTCTCAAACACTGTTCCTCTGTCGCGACCTCCAAACCTCCTTTTTAGAGCTTCTCGCAAACCCTCCCATGTTGGCGCCTACACTTTTGTTAAAGAAGCAGTAGCAGTAGCAGTAACTTGCGCTCCATTCCATGCAGACGTACTTTAGTCGAAGTTTTTCCCTCTCCGTCACCTTCTGGATTTCGAGGCTTTTGCACCAAAGTAGGCAAATATGCCTCTAATATTACCAAAATGGGCAAATTCAAACCATATTACGAAAATGGGGAAGTCGTGGGGGGCCCAAACGACTTCAATTGAAGAAGTCGTGCCCCCCTGCACGACTTCACACTGTTGATATAAACAGTGTTGAAGTCGTGCACCCCAAAAATGAC